AAAACGGAAAAAAGTGTGTACCCATAAAATTTTAAGATGCTGACAGAATTTTAATTGAGATTCAATCAAGATCGTAATAGTTGATTGCTATTTCCCAATCATATATCGTCGAAGAAGCTGCTAAATCTTGAGAAAGCCGTGTAGCCACGGAATTTCAAGACCTCGACAAGGTTCATAACAGGATTCTATCAGTATCCTGAGCAGTTTACCAATGCAATTAAAACAAGAAATATGTTAATAGAGGGTCAAATCCTCAGAAAAACGTGTAGGCACGAAATAAACACGATTCTGTTATGATTAGAACAAAATCTTAGAGAAATTCTGAGTCATTTTGTATTGACTTTATGTCAAGCTCTTCTCAGAATTTCAATGGCTTCTAATTGGAAAATATTTTCTGATTGCATCTCGCAGAACTCCACTTCGATTCTGTAAGGATGATATCCTATGTATTGTCAAAAGTTTTGCAGGATTCTCTAAGCAGAAAAGAGAAATGAACGCACATTATTGATTTCTATATGTTCAGTTAAAAAACTAATTAGTTCACCGCAGTAGACTGTACCATGCTATTTAATTTAACTCAAACCTTCTGTATCTCGAATTCCCTCTGAACTATTAATTTGTATTTGAACTTTATGCAAACATAAGTTATTTGAACAAAAATTCAATATAAACTTAATCTATTGATTACTTATCATAAAATTTTACTATGACTGGTTGATTTCAATTTGAATAAAAAGGTATTTTTCTGATTAGCACGAATAGATAAAATCCAGTACAAGTTTTATTGAAGTACTCGTCCTTTACTAAAAGCTTTTTTAAGAAAAAGTTAGTGTAACAGTTAACTGATATTAAAATCTCCATTTTAATGAGTTTGCAAGTTTTATATGAAAATAAAATTCAAAAAATAACTGAGTTCCATGCTGTAAATGTCATGCAATATTGAAGATAAATATTAAAAATCTTTGACGAGAAATCTTCAAAAACTCTGTCAGAATTCTTCCATTCACTGACACATAGAAACAAAGGAATATTAGAATGAAATTCAGGTACCTTCTTGCTCTTCTACATTCCTGTCAGAACCGGAACAAAACACATTGCAAATTCTTCATTGTCATTTTAGTATAGTTACTGTTAACATTTTATTTAACAAGCACAATTTGAGTTTTTGAGATTCAAAGATTCAAAAATATTCGAAGAATCTTAAATAGGAACTGTTAAGGATTTTGATGGAAACATTTCATAATTTTATTCAAAATCCTGAACCAGATCAGTCATAGATCTTGTTACAATCCTCAAGATCAAGCTTTAGTAGACTCTAAATGAAAATGGTAAAGATCTTCGTCTAACCTTGATATGCTTTCAGAAAGATCCTGGCCATCCTTGACCTTCTCTAGGAAGGATCCGAAATGCTTGTCCTTGAAGAGACCCTAAGACCACCCTGGAAATGTTCAGAAAAGATATTCGTAAGAAAAATGCTTAAGAAAATTAGATAGATTCGTGATTGAATCTTAGAAGAATCCACTACCTGAGGATTTTCATTGCTCTTCTATTAATTCCTTGTAGGATCTTTGCCTTATTCAACTGTAAGCCAGGAGAGGACCATGACGCAGAGATCCCAAACGAATTCTGTTAAAACTATAATAGAATCTAAGCGATATTCTTTCTGTAATCCCTATGAAGGTTTTGAGTAAGATCAAGAGTGAATCCTAATATGGTCCATCATGTTATAATAATAAAGAAATCTGAGTGGAAACTTGAAAAGATCTTGAGAAGAATATTTTTTTCACAATGAAATATCCTGCAAACCAGTATTATTAAAATTGGAAACGGAATCCTGAATAAAATATGACATGAATCTTCAGATTCAGGAGCTCAAAATATTCTTTCACACTTTCTCAAGGAAAAACAGGATTAAGACTAAAGTAGAGGGTTGCTCTAAGTTCTGGCATCCTTAGTTTGACGGAGAAAAGCGGATTCTAGAGTCCTAAGAGATTTTAGAATATATTTCTAGAAGTGTACCAAAAGCGGTCACAGATTACCTCCATTGGCCATAATTCAACACAATCCATTACAATTTATCACAGATAACTACTTAGGGTATACCAAAAGTTCTGATCACAGTTTTTAAAATTTAATAAAGCAATAAATATTGAATATTTTACTAAGGCGATATATAGTATAACGTCTCGTCTTTAATAATATATAGAGCAACTCTCTCTTAGACTTAGTTCTAACATCCTTTCAGACTAAATCTATAGTATTTATAGCCAAGAAAAGATCATGCCAACATAAAACCACAATACAGAAACGAAGAGACATTCGTTATTTTATTTTATTAAATGCTCAAAATAATCACCATTATTTTCGATACAAAGTTTCATTCTTTCTAACAGTTTATCGAAAGTCTTTTTAAACTCGTTTATTGGAATATTCTTCACTATGGTGGAAACCTCTTGAGCTAATGATTCTTCGTTTGTGTGATCCGTCAACTTGTTCTTGATATAATCATTTAGCCAAAAGTCACACGGTGCGAGATCTGGTGAATATGGTGGATGTGGAATGATTTCGATTCCTTCCTCCATTAAATAATCAATAACATCTGGATGAGTATGAGGAGGACCATTATCATGAAGCATTTTATATGTAGTACGTGATGACTTTTCCTTTTTTCTTATTTCATTGATAACAGGTATAAGACAATTATCAATATAGTAGTCATGATCGATTGTCTTGCCCTTATCTGCTTTGTGTATGAGAAGAGAACCAGTGGATTTGAAGAAGAAGCAAAATAGTGTTCTAGGTTCAAATCTATTCCGACGAACAATGGTTCTTGGTGGTTCATTTTCGCCAACCCAAGTAGCATTGCTTGACTTTCGACCAATCTGCCTGTGATAAATCCATGTCTCATCACCAGTAATAACATCACATAAATGCCATGTTCCATTTCTAAATTTCTCTAAATTTTGACGACAAATTCTAAGTCGTTTTTGTTTTTGTTCGTCAGTAGTTGATGAGCAACCCAACGTGATGTAACTTTTCTCATCTTTAGACGATCATGAATAATTCGTTCTATTGTACCACGTGATAGATCAGTCTCACCCATAATATCATCATAAGTTGAGTATGGATCATCTTCGATAACTTGTCGAACGCGTTCAACATTTTCATCTGTAAGTACCGAAATCGGACGACCAGATCGAGGATCATCAGTGACATCGTCTCTTCCTTCACGAAAACGTTTCGCCCATCTTCTGACTGTTGGATATGATGGAGCATCAGGTCCCAATGCCTCTGTAAGTTCGTCAAAGATTGTTTTTGAATCTATTCCCAAAATAGCTCGAATTTTGATATAATATCGATTGAATTCATCAGTCATGTTTAATGTCTTCTTTTAAGATTGAAATCAAATTCTATTACGATTTTAAGTCGAGTACGGTACAAATGAACTAACAGCGAACGACCTCTCATTTATATATACTATCGAAATGTAATATTCTAGAACATGACGTCATAAAACGTGACGAGAGAGTGACCAATAGAAAGTTCCAGAATGTACCTGACCATTGAATAAGAATTAATAATATTTGCATTGTCTGTAAAATTATAGATTTAGTCTGAAAGGATGTTAGAACTAAGTCTAAGAGAGAGTTGCTCTATATATTATTAAAGACGAGACGTTATACTATATATCGCCTTAGTAAAATATTCAATATTTATTGCTTTATTAAATTTTAAAAACTGTGATCAGAACTTTTGGTATACCCTAAGTAGAATGCAATAGAAATCATCATGTATTACAATAATATCAAACCGATCGAGGAAGCGTAAATCTTGATGGATCCAAAAAATACGCAGAATCCATGATGATATGCCAAAATTTACCAAGACATCATCATCTCGGTATCCTGGATTTTTTTTTCTCTTTACTTAGTTACAAATTCTGAAGTCAGTATTCCCTTTTCTCACTTAATTTATTTGAACCTTCAAGAATTCTCATATCCATTAAGATCAACTTTTGCATCCTCGTTTCTGTACGCTTGAAATAATTTATTCTACAATTCATTAGGTTCCGTCAGGATCCACCAGGATCCAATAGGATCCACCAGGATCCAGTAGGATCCACAGGATCCACCAGGATCCTAGGATCCAGGATCCGCTTTTTCCCCCTTGTATTTTCGAGACTTGTCTTCCCTAACTGATCATTTGATTTCCAAATAGCACTCAAATGTATGAGACAACAAATAGAACAAAAATTTTTTTACTTCTTAAAGATTTTTAACATTTTCTTTGTAGATAACATATATAAAGAAATTCATGCCAAATTAATGACAAATAAGGTTCTTCGAAAGAAATATTTAATATCAGTCGTCATTTAGGTGAGTCAATTCCTATATTTCTTCATAATTTGATTTTTATTTCATAAGAATTCGATAGATATGTTGATAAATTTGAAAATTTGCTTGCATCGTTGAGATTTTAAAGAGATACATTGTAATTATTCTCAATATTCTTATGAATTGTCGTTCTCGATTGTTATTAGACACTTATTTCTTCCACATATTTGAGGCATCTTTTTCCTGTTCTGTTTTGTGTCTCATACTTTACAAATGAAGAAAGGACAGAAAAAGAGAGAACTATGTAGCAACATCAACATTCGATTTGATTATAATCATGTGTTTATAGTATCGATTTTTCCTTGTAATCAATATTTCATCCAAATTTTAAATAAGCTTAGTGTTTTAATTTAATTTTTTTGGTACAAGCTCGAAAAATGAATCTAACATTTGTTCACATTTATTATAGTCCCTTGGTCTCAAATTCAAGTTGACAAATAGTTTTCATGGCATTTTTTATGCAATAAAAGATATTTATTATATAGTATGAATATGATCATATACGAGCGAGAATCCGCTAGAATTATTCCTATGTTTTTATATCACTTTGATCTAATTAATTATTATATTTTTCTTGTTTGAATATTACTTATACATAATAGTGAATAACGATTTAATTATTCTTATTCGTATTGTTATGAAAGAAACGAAGATTGATTTGCAAATTAAGTGTTAAGCAGCAATGTTGTTGAGCATGAGGATTGTCAGGCAGGATGTGATCATGTTGAGAATGCCAAGAATTGCGGAGATATCGCCGCACAAAAAAAAGAACATGAACATGATGATAGCAGAATAGAAGGCGATAATATATCTGTTATCATCTATGTGAAATATACAAATTTTCAAAACATAATATTAAACATTTTCAGAATCCTAGTCCCATTATTCGCTAGTTGTATTATACTATTATGATGATCAAATAATTAAAATTCTTTTCAGAAGAAATGATTAAACAAACCAATTTAAGACCAAAGGACTATAATTTGATATGATTTAGCCTATTAATTGTTTAGCTAAAGAAAGTAAACGCAAAACTTCCAATCAGGTTTTAAGCATGAAAGACGTTAGAATTTCAGCAGAAAGACAAAGATTTTTAAGAAGACGAAGACTAATCCCTATTCACTTGTGTTTTAATCATTAATAGTCTATAAACACAAACATTGTTCGATCAACTAATATACATAAATTGAATAGGACTCAGATTGGAAAGAATTATATCTCAATTCCGATTTTACACTATTTGATTAATACCAATTAATTAATCAGTGTTAAGCTGAGGGTGTAAGTGCGGATGCGGGTGTGCGTGTCGGTGTGAATGTGGATGTGGGTTGTTGGTCTTCTCTTTAACGACATTCACACCCACACATATACACTCCATCCCACCCCCACACCCTTCTCTGTATATTGTACTGTCGCTTTCATTTTGCATGAAAAACAGTTTCTGTCTAGATGGTCGATAAAGAAGAGCAAAGCCGATGTTTCTATGTGAACGCAATCGCGCTTGTCGATCCTGGCACTCAAACTTTCATTACACTTAACGGACGTCATCTTCGATTTGATGAACCAATACTCGTATCATACTCACTCACGATTTATTTCACAACTTACGTCTGCCGATTCCTCACTTTTCCATCAACAGAGGTCAACAAGAGCAAGGTCATGGGTAGACCTGCTCCTGCATGTGAACCTGACATGGAGACCTACAAGAGCGATTCGAACGTTAGCATATTTTGGTACGACTTAGACACTGCATTTTCAGCGAACGAAGATGCCACAAAAACACGTGACCTCCTTCAGAGAAATGCTAAATCTGTGAGTTTCTATGCGAACAAACAAGAACTCTATATGAACGTGTATGCTATCCCTTGTGATTCTCCGAGCTTCCTCGTCATCTCTGGCATCGATGCATACGACGTTCTAAAAGACCTTCACCAACTCAAACAAATCGACACCGTGTTCGTCTTCTGAAGGTATGTCGCTGCTTACACGTACTTGAAAAAGCTATATCCGAAAATTACTGGCATATTCAATACGCACATAACACTACAACTTTGTATTTCCTCAAACTTGCGACGCATGGATCAACAACAGAATGCTCGACGTCTTTATGCTCACAATGATTCTTTTATGTCTCCACTTTCGCTTTCATTCGCTTGGAAAAAACTACTTTTTGATAGAATGACGCAGCCCACACGATCAGTGATATCCACAAAGACATCATCAATCATTGTCATGCTTACTATCGCGATGATAAAGTCGTTCTCGAAGAAATTTTCAAATTTGAATGTGCACATGTACAGGGAATGGATGCTGTGATGTGGTACACAAAAAACGGCTTTCTATACAAGTCTCTCAATCGAGCATTACGCTCCGATAATTTTGATGCTATTTTTATCTTTCGATCTATTATCAGTGAACTCTCGTCCGAATTGATTAAGCTTCACTCAGATTTTTGTCACATTCTTCAGGATGGACCGTATATAGTCCATCGTGGCTTGCTTGCGCCAACACAGGAGATAGAAAACCTTCAGTCGAATGTCGGTGGTCTTGTCGGTACAACTCAATATTTGTCAGCAAGTCGTGATCAATCAACAGCCGAATTCTATGCTGGTATAGGCTCTGTTCGAAATCCTGGTGAAGTTTCTCTTATCTTTGAGATTCAAATTTATTCGTGCATAGGTAACAGAGATTCGATTTGCGCTGATATTAGTCGCTGGAATTGGATAGGCGAGGATGAAATTCTTTTCAATCTGGGCTCCGTATTTGAAGTGATCGATGTTACATGTAAATCCATGGACAGAAATGAGTGGCACGTCATCCTTAAATCGGGCAAAGTCAATGTAACTGAAACACCGTATTATCGATATTTGAAACAACGATCGGATGAACTCGACCGAATGCGAGCCGACATTGCACTTGGGCGTCATCTTGTTGACATGGGAGTGTCGAATCAAATTGATATATATTTAATCGAATGTCTCAGTATCAGCACATGGAATGATGGTCGTCATGATGATGACCCTCAACATTCGTTTATTTACGATACACTTGGTCGACTCTACGTTCTTAAAAAACAACCCTATGAGGCCATTGCCTATTTCACATGGACATTCAATCGATTTCGAGCTGAGCATCAAGCTGTTGAAGCAAATGAAGCACTATAATTCCTCTTAAAATTGATCAGCGAGCTTCTCGATCCGCGACAACTACTGAGCATTTGTAAGAAAAACCTAATACCGTTGAATATCTGTGCAGATGTTTACCTTCGTCTTGGGATGAATGATGAAGCTCGGAAGATATATCTTGAACTTATTCAAACACTTTATGCATCAGATCCCATCGATCATCTTCAATTAGCTGAATATCTAACTCGACTCGGCAGAATAGATAGAAGGAGTTCTATATTTTCACAGGTCCTTGATCATTTCCGTAAAGTCTTACCGGAACAACATCCATTTATTCTCGAGGTTGTCGATCATCTTAAGAGCACTGAAGACACAACCGATAAGTCTCTTCCATGGATTGAATTATCGATTGTTCATCAACAACGCCATATCAAACGCAGATTCTTCGTTCAGCAATCAGATAGAATCAATGATATCAAAGTGTTATTGCAACATCATTTCGGTATTTCGTGTAATTCGCAAACAATTCAGGATGAAAATGAATGCGTACTGGCCAATGATATAGCCACCGTAGTTGACTATACTCTTCATAGCGGAGCCATATTACGTCTGGCTATAGATCCAGAGCCGGAACCATGGCGAATCTTCGTTCAAAGCGCGATGAGTATGATTGAAATAGCTGATGTGTACTGGTGGCAATCAATTTATGATATCAAATGTTATCTTTGCGACCAGTCAAAACTACCACCAACGGAACAACAACGGCTTGTTTAAGCCGGTCATGAATTGTCAAATGATTTCATCTGTGGAAAACTAAAGTACCCCACTACCAGACTTCTTCTTGCGCTACGTGATTGTGAATTAAAATTTGATTCTGAAGAGCTCTTCAGCATTTGTCTCTACCTACCATTTCCCAACGAAACTCCTCAATGAAAGAAACCTGATAGAGCTTACAAGTATGATACGAATTCAAGAAATTCTATGCAAGACGTCTTCCTATTCGATCGAGATTTTATCGAATTCCAGGGTATTTCATGTGAAACCACAGTTGAAGATCTTAAGGCAAAGATCAGTGAGCATCGTGGGTGTGGATGAGGATGTGGGTGAAGAGAAGACGAACATCCACACCCATAGCCACATCCACATGCACCACACCCACACCCACACCCACACCCACACCCTGCATGACTTTTTCTATTGACATTCTTGGAGCAACGAGAGAAAAAGTCGAACGCAAAATCTGAAAATGACTATACTCTGAAGAGAGGCAGCATATATGGTTTTGTAGAGCGAATTTTGCTCTACAAAACCTTATATTTAGTTTTTCATTTAAAGTCGAAAAGTTTGCGTAAATCTTGACAGAACGTTATGGATAGCATTTCTCATAAAGTTAGGGTCACTGCGCATTTGGTGAATTTTTAGATTTCGTTTGTTTGATTCAATAATCATACCGAATAACTATTTTACTAAAAGAATATGAGTAACCAATGATGAAACACATATTGATATCAAATGAATCGTAATGATAGTAAAGCTTTTTTCTATTGGACCGATTCGGTAGAATGACGCATCTTATTTATTAATATTTTTTTTTATATACAGATTTGCTTCAGTTTTATTGCATTTCTTGTTGATCATCTCTACATGATTGCAGA